TCACAGAGACATTTCAACTTTTGCATTTCTCACCAAACTCATTTTTTTTTTTGAGGTTTTGGTTTGAGATATTTTTCTCTTTTTTAAACCTTTGTCTCTGACTTTTCAGTCAATTCTTATAGCTTTGCCTTCTCCCACGGCTTATGATCCTCTTTTACCACCATAGCCAGCGGGTGCTCATCTCTTACCTGAGTGTTGTGGTAGCCTCCACACATGACTTATTCTGCCCTTGCATGTCTTCTCTCAGCTTAGTAGACAGGGGATCTTGGTTTTGGTTTTCTTTTTGAGACAGGGTCTCCTTGTAGCCTCAGCTAGCCTGCAGCTTGCTGTGTAGATCAGGCTGGCTTTGGTCTCAGAGATCTATTTGTTTCTGCCTCCTGAGTTCTAGGATTAAAGGCCTATGTCACTACACCCAGCCTTAGAGGGAACTTTAAAAATTGTTCATCTTTTCCTAAAACCCTCTGGTAATTTCTCAGCTCATCCCTTGGCTGATTTGATCTGAAAGTTGAGTCTTGTTTCTTTAATCTACTGCTCTCCCTCTTCGTCTAATCTCTAACCTCTCCGCTATGTCTCCTTCCATCCCCCCAAACAGGCAAGCTGCCCCCACAGTGCCTGAGTGCTTGTTCTTCCTTCACATGGTGAGCTCTTTTCTCTCAAACGCTGACTCAAAGTCAATTTAGTGACGTTGCCCTGAGCAACTCTGCATAAATATGAGTATTCCTCTACCTTACCCCAGTATTTCCTATCCTGTTTTCCGGTGTCAGTTTTGCTCTGTAGCACTTATAGCACCATATAACAGAAGCCTACTCATTAAGTCTGTTTATTGTTCATCCCACCAAATGTAAACTTGAGTGCAAGTTTTATTTATAAACAGAGTAATATCTAAAGCATAGAGAATGCAGCAAATACCTTAAAGTCTTTTAAAGTGCTTTTCTATAAGGAATGAGGCCTTTTTTTAAGAGTGAGGTACATATTTGTCTTGTAATCCCTATGTTATTGAACTTTGAAAAAAATTTAAATTAAAAAAACCTAAGTAATATAAGACTCCCTTTTAGCATGATGATGTTCAAATAGTCTTTGTTCTTAGGTGTCTTCATGTAATTTCTTATTTTTGTGACTTTTGCAATTTTGCATTTCTGGAATAGACCTCAGAAATAATTTGTTCTTTTAACATGCTGCTGAGTTATTTGTTCCATCAACGTTGTTCTGGAATTTTCTATTGTTATTCATGTGAGAACTCTTTGTAGTTTTATTTCTATGTGATCTTTAGCATTGATACATAATGTTATTTATGTTCAAGCTGATTAAAAATTGCATGTTTTCCTTTTCCTATCCTCTGGAGAAGTAATGTAATTGTAGCAGGTTTTCTTCAGTGGTTTGGTAGAATCCTTCTGTGGAACTCTCTGGACCCTGTAACTTTTGGGTGGGAATAGGAGCTCATTGGTAGCTTAATTCTTTCTACAGATATTAGTCTGTGTTGGAATATGTCTGCCTTCTGTGGTCAGTTTTATTAAATTATCTTTCCTTGGAAAATTGTTCATTTTATCTAGGTTTTTACATTGATTTCCACAGAGGCAGCCTGCTTTGTTTGGCATTCTTTTAATTTTGTCTATTTCCCCAAATGACTAACTCTGTGTTTGTTGTTTTCTCTCTTTTTATCATGATATGGGTTATTACAGTTTTTCTGTTTCATGGTGTTCTTTTAGAAGAATCATCCTTTTAATTTGAGTTCTATTTTGGTGTTTCAAATCTATTGGCTTTCATTTTTATCTTTGACAAGTACTGTTTCGTGTGATTCCTTTTATATTATTTTTCTAACTCTGAATCACTGCTCATGCCATGATTTTTTCTTCTTTCCAGTCTCTGCAGGCACATGTCAGTTCTCCCCCAATGCGTTCAGTTTTCTTTTGTTTTCATTCAGTTTTAAAAATACTGGCTTTGTGTTTTGGTATACTATCTTTGTATTTATTTGGGGGGATTCACTCAGTGTCTTGGATTTGTAGGGTGATATCTTTGGCAGGTCTGGGGCATCCTCAGATATCTTTCCAGCTCTCCCCTCTCCTTCTGGGACTCTAACGATACAAATGTTTATCATTTGTTATTTTTCCCAAGTTCCCAACTGTCTTAGCTTTTTCGTTTCTTTTTTCTCTCTTGTTCAATTTGGGTAACTTCTGGTGTTCTGTCTTCAGGTTCACTGGTTTTCATTTCCTGCCTCTGTCCTGTTTTTTTTTTTTAATATTTTATTTATTTTATGTGTATAAGTGTTATGCCTACATGTAGGTAAGTGTACCTGTGTCATGCAATGCCTGTGGAGAACAGAAGAGACTGTTGGATCCCCTAGAACTGGAGTTACAGACAGTTGTTAGTTGCCATGTGGGTGCTGGGATTTGAACCCGGGCCTTCTGCAAGAACAGTAAGTGTTCTTAACCTCTGAGCCATCTCTCCAGCCCCATGTCCTGTGTTTTTGCTATGGACCTGTTTGAATTTTATTTTGGTTGTTGTATTTTTTGGTTTTAAATTTCCATTTGATTCCTTCACAAATTCTGTTTGCTGGTGCTTTCTATTTCTTTGCTGAGACTATTTCTTCATATATTTTAGACAAGTTAGTAGGTGCTTATTGAAGAATTGTTATGATGGTCGCTTATATTCCTGCTAGACAGTGCCAACTGTTTGTGTCATCCCCACAGCTGTGTCCATGGGATAATCTTCTTATTCAAATTTAGATTTTCTGACTCTTGATATGATGAGCAATTTTCTGTTGTATCTTGGACATTTTAGGTATCTTCTGTTATGACACTTTAGGTCATCTTTAAATCTTTTTCAGCAGACCTATGATTCTATATTGATGATAAAGGGAGGTATTGCCTAGTTCCAAGTGAGGATCAAAACTTAAGCTGCCCATCTCTCTTCTCGTGACAGCATTAGGGAGATGCCACATAGCATATGTACTGTCTAATTTTATGGTCTTTAATTAATTTATAAACATGTCCACGTCATACAATTTAGAAAGTATAGATTTGCAAGAATATAAAAGATGTAATGAGTTTAACTTTTATATATTCGTGACAGAATCCAGTAACATAATAATACAGCATATGCTGTACATAACATAAATATAGTAGACAAGAATATATTACATGTAGGTAGAACTATCTTGTGTATGTGTGGTAGTTATACATGTATATTTGTTTCTATTTGTAGAAAGTTTAGAAGGTTACTTAAGTAACATATCAGGAGTGATTATCATTGGAAGGCATGATTAAGGAAGAGCTGTCTTAATCTTATCATTACATTATTCTCATTCAACTATTAAAAGCTAATGCAAAGACTGGGATGTAGCTCAGTGATAGAGCACTTTCCTAACCATGCACAGGGTCCTGAGTTTAATCTGCAGCACTACACACACACACACACACACACACACACACACACACGCAGAGGTTAGCGACACACACACACACACACACACACACACACACACACACACACACGCAGAGGTTAGCACAAGAATTGCTTTGTTGCTTTGTCTATTCTGTTATTATTGGAATTATCCTGGTTCAATTTGCTATTTCAATAACAAGTGTGATGTAATAACTTTTTTTCTTACCATTTTCTTTGTTCTATTCAAAAATAGTTCCATCAAAGTTCTATTCTACTGACAGCTAGCAAGAAGAAAAGGATTAGTAAACAGTGCAAGTCGATGTACCTTCCATTTGCAAGGTAATTAATATATAATATGCTGCTTGATGAAAATGTACATTCTATTTGGCATATGCTAGTGTCTATGTAGAAGTCAAATTACTGGAAATATATATGTGGCCTTAGAAGAAACTGCCAAAAAGCTTTCTAAAGAAGTTATATCAGTTTATGTTCCTAGCAGCAATATATGAGAATTCCTGTCCTATATCCTCAGTACTGCTTGCTTTACCCATTTGGGAGCTGTGTAGTGGCATTAAATTTAGGTTTTATTTTTATTTCCTTGACAGCAAATGAAGTTAGACATTTGTTCATGCGTGTTCTTTCTTTGGAGTGGTTAGTTATTTATTATTTGGTGTTTAACAGGTATTCTTTACTCTGTTGCTTGACTCCTCACTGCCTCTTTTTTCAGTTAAACCTCTTTTTTTTTGTCTCCAACTCTAAATGATATCTTTAGATGAACAGAAATTCTTTATAAAATCCAATTTGTGTGTTTGTGTGTGTATGAATCTCTCACTGTTCTGATTAATGCTTTCTGTGACACTTTACTGATTTTTACTAATTGCAAGGTCATTATTCTCTTTCCTCCCAAAAGCTTTATTAACTTCCCTTTTAAGTTTTTTTTTTTTTTTTTTTTTTTCACAATTATTTTATTAGAGGGCTAGAGAGATGGTTTAGCAGTTAAGAGCACTGGCTACTCTTCTAGGGAACCCGGGTTCAGTTCCCAGTACCCACATGGCAACTAACTTCAGTTCCAGGGATCCAACTCCTACTCATACACATAAAAATAAATTAAAAATAGTTGACTATTAAAAAATTATTAGCATGTGTGTATATGTGTGTGAGGAGGAATGCTCCCATGTACCACAGGATATACGTAGAAGCCAGAGGACTTCATGGAGTTCATTCTCTCCTTTCACCTTTACATGGGATTTATAGATGGAACTCAGGTCACCAGGCTTGCATAGTGAAATGGGGAGGAAGACCGTCTCCTAGAGGATTCTTAGTCTCATTCATAAAAGAATTTAAGAATGGAGCCAAACGGAAGCTTTTACAATTTTATTAGAATTTTAAAGAAAAATCCTCGGGGCAGGCAAGCTGGTCATTTGGCAGCTGCCTGGAGGAGGTGAATGGTGTGGAGAAGGAAAGAAAGCCACGAAGCCATGCAGGTTTAGAGCCGCATGACATGGCTTTAGAGAAAAAGTAAAGAAATACAAAATGCTAGGGGTAACCCAAAGCATTAAAGAAAACATGTTTAGAAAAGGGATGTGAAGAAGAAAAGGAGAAATGATACTTTTCTGAATTCTTCAGAAAAATGAGCAGACTTACAGAGACATGTCTGTAGCTGGGTCGGGGAGTTCTGCACTAGGAGGCAGGATTCCAGGCAGGAAAAATTCACTATCTCATTAACGCCCTAGGTATTCCACCCATCTGTGTAGCATAACTTAAGGTGAACTCACCTTCCTAGGGGTGGTCCTATGACCAGATGATTGACCAGTGAAATTGGAAAGGTAAGTCTTCCAACAGATAAGAGATTTTATAGTCTTGACCAGTTAAATTTATGGGGCTTTTTGCTACTCTAACAGTAGCAGGTACTTTACCCACTTAGCCACCTCCCCAGCCCCCTTTCACATTTAGATTTTCAGTATCCTTGGGATTGTGAGTGTGATATGAGGGAAGGGTCATTTTTTTTTGGTTATTATTATTGTTTGGTTGGTTGGTTGTTTTAGTGTGGAAATTCCATTGACCTGGCACCATTTATTGAAAACACCATCCTTTCCCAACCTGATTGCCATGTCATCTATATCATAATTAGCTGACTGGCTCTGAAAGGGTCTGTTTCTGAACTCACTATTCTAGTACATGAGCCTTTTTGTCTCTACCACACTGCCTAAATGATTAGCTTTAAAGTAAGCCTTGTTTTTTCAGTCTGGATCTCCATCTTATTCTTTTATTTTTCATTCTTGGACCTTTACATTTCCATATGCATATTAGAATTAGCTTGGCAATCTGTATAACACATACACACACATACACGCACACAGAGAGAGAGAGAGAGAGAGAGAGAGAGACACACACACAGAGAGAGAGAGAACAAAAAAGAAAGGGAGATAGAGAGTTTGACTGGGAATATGTTCAGTTTGAGGAAAATAGACATTTTATACAATTGTTTCATCCATAAATATGATATATTGGTTTATTTAGCTAGTATGTATTTTCTATATTGTAGTTTTTAAATACAGAATCCTGTTTATTCCTACTTACTTGATATTTTAAATATCCTGAATACTATTTTTTTCATTTGTTTGCTTTGTTTTGTTTGAAATGTTGGGGTACAGGGTTTGGGAATGATTGGAGACTACCCAGTATAATTCGAAATTTAGAAAATTTTATTGAAAAGCATTCCAATTCTTGAATGACCAGTCGGGCACAGACTCCAGGAGGCCCCTACCAACAATGATTTTTATTGGGTACTCTTGAAAAAGCCCATGCAAACTGGGCGACCCTTGAATTAATTGGATAACTCTGAATTCCTTGTATGGGGGGAAATTTCATTGGTTGTAGTCATGGTCAGCTGCCTGGAATGTTTCAATCTTTCCTTTTATAGTAGGATGTCCATATCGGCCTCTGGATGCCCTTTATGGTCAGGAATTTCAATTGGTTTCTGTTAGACTCAGATAAGCAAGGCATGTCTGGGCTTGCCTGATCTCAGCCTGCAGTATGAGACAAAGGAGATTTAGCAGAAACTTAAGGCTGACAAGATGGAGGCTGCTAAAAATGGGACCCAGTGTGACCTGGATCCTTCATTTCCCCCTTGAGTTGTAACATGGGTTAAATCTTTAAACCAAATCTTTAAGTCATAGCAAGCAAGTAATTATACAGAAGCTAGATGTTTTGCAGTTAACAAGCAGTTGTCTGGGGTAAGTGCCCCTCCTGGGCTACTGGGTTGTACTGAGCACGGAGGACAATCAGTTGGATGGTCTGCAGCTGGTTCCATATGAACCTGAGGAGGGCATTTATCAGACAGGGTCCACATGTAAGGGCAATCAAGAATAACATCAGGGTCCCTGCTAGTGCTGTAATAAGTGTAGTTAACCATGTTAACCCTGTGAATAAGGATTCATACCAGTTTTGTTGCTGGAGCCTAGCATCTTCCCATTCCTTTAGGTGTCTGCGGACCTGGGCTAGACACTGTCTGATTACACCCGAGTGGTTAACATAAAAACAATATTGTTCTCCCAGGGCAATGGAGAGACTGCCTCTCTCCAGAAAGAATAGGTCTAGGCCTCTTTGGTTCTGTAGGGCTACCTCAGCCAGGGAGGAAAGGGACTCCTCTAGATGCTTGACTGACTCCTCTAAGGCCCGTAGGTCTAAATCTATAGCTACCTGAAGAACCCGGTAATTCTGGTCCTGTATAATTTTGGCTGATGTTCCCACTCCAGTGGCGGTGGTGACCCCAATTCCCAGTAGGGTGGAGAGCACTATTGCTCTTGTTCCTATGGCCCTCCAGTGTCTCAGCAGGGAGGTGGAGTGGACTTCTATCTCTATATTAGACCTATAATAGAGGTGGGGGACCAGCTGTACCAAGACACAAAAATCTCCTGCATAGTTAAGTATGGTGCAATGGGGACAGGTGGTGAGCCCAGAAGAACAGGCCCACCATGTGGAATTATTGGGGGACACATAGGCGACAGACTCACTCGGGGGGAGTTGAGTGGTTGAGTTACAGAGATGTTGATATGAAGGGGGACTCTGCCAGTGCCAGCTGGCCAAGACGGACAGTACCTGAAAGGGGGAGTGAGGATTGAAAGAAAAAACAAGAGACAGAAAAGATACTTGGGAGGGCTGTCAGTAGAGACTGCAGCCCGGGTTTATTTCAGCTCCGCCTTTTTATACAGAAGAACTCCATTAGTTTCAACAGCTATTTTTCCCATCTGTATCTGAGGGTCAAGGAGCGGTCAAATACTTGTTTTGTGAGCTCCACCATATAAACACATTCCTCCTGATTTGGCAGATTAGGTACTGGTGTGCAAAACACAAACTCAGTAAAGAAGCCTGCCACAGCTTATGTACATAATGGATTAATAGCTCCCAACAGGAATCTACCCCACTTGGGGTATAATTATAGCAAAGCCCTCGTCCAGTTACTATGATGAGGGTGAGGGTGAGGGTTCGTCTCCCATCAGGAGGGCCCATCCTGCAGGCAGAGGCATCGGTGGTCAGAGAGTAACTTCCTAGAACAGCTATGCCATCATAGTATGGGGTCCCAAGGTCCAGACAGAGTCAACAACTTTTAGTTAGGTTAGCATTGGTATCATTGAGGAATAGGAAGGCTGCATCTACAAGAGCCAACGGACCTGGTGCTGTCGGTAACAAAGATGGAGTAGGAAATAGGCGATTAATTAGAGTAGGAGTAGTGAGGATTCTTTCAATAGACGGAGACCTGCTAGGGGTCGGGGCTTGGATGGCAACAATCTGGTGTACTGGCAACACAGGCTTGGGGTTGGGGGCTGGCCATTGGAGCCTGGGGCCCATGGAGGCTGCCTGTACCTGTGTAACTGAGAGGCGTAAACAGGATTCCAGGAGAACCTGGGTCATTATGGCACTGCATTCCCCACGTGTGTCCATGATACCATAGAGGCAGGGTGTCGGGATGCTTGCCTCATGGGGTGAATTTCAAGATAACTGGGTTGCATTTGTTGGAGCATGGTCCCTGGAACGTAGTCCCAACTGGCAACCATCCCTGGGAACAACTCCCAGGTACCCTAGTAACTGTAATAAGGTCATCCTTAACAGGGGCTTTCCAGTCAGTATCACCTGTTGAGACACATGGCAAAGACTGGCAGAAAAAGTAATCTGGTCCTCCGCTTCCCGACTGTCGACTGTCGCCTTGAAGTCGAATCCCCAGGACAAACATACCAGCATTTCATTCGGAGTTCATTTCGTGTGGCTGGCCAGTTGCATCTGTAGGGGAAATTACCAAGGCAGTACATCTCGGGTTCAAACCACCTGGGAGGAATGCA